CCAACCTCCCAGATCACCAATTCCACATATAGACTGAAAAACATGGAGATAGGAGGCATCCCTTGCATACAGCTTTCCTGATTTTGAGAGAGACCAATACAAAGGTATGACATACTCAAGTAAGACAGACGAACAGAAGATTTCAAAAGGCTGCTAAAGATTACAAATCAAAGTATTACAATGAAGTTTACAAATAAGTGGGAGTTAGAAAATCAAAAGGAAAGAACATATTTGGCATTTCTCAAGGTGAAGGAATTGAAGAAAAAATACATGCCTCGAGTTGCAATACTGAAGGAATCTATGGGCAATAGACTGAATGACACAGGAAACATCAAAAGAAAATGGAAGAAATGCATAGTCAGTGTACCAGAAAGAATTGGTTGACACTGAAGCATTTCAGGAAGTAGCATATAATACAGAATCAATACTAATAAAGGAAGTTGTTCAAGCTGCCAGAAGGCATTTTCAAAAAAACAGGGCCTCAGGAACTGATGGAATACCAACTGACATGTCTCAACAAAGAGATGCAGCCCTGGATGTGCTCACTAATCTATGCAAAGAAGTTACCTAGAAAGATAACTTGGAAGATAGTTACCTAGCCTTAAAACAAAAAAAAATCCTTATGTGTTCTAAAAATAAAACAAAAAAAAAAAAAAAAAGGAAATCCAAAAAAATGTGGTGATTATCGAACCATATTGTTAATGTCACATGCAAACAAAATTTTCCTGAAGAGTATGCAAAAACACCTCATCAGTACACCAACAGCAAACTGACAGAAATTCAAGATGGATTCTGAGAGGTTATGGCACAAGAGATTAACACTGTTGATGTCAGATGAACCTTGGCTGAAAGCAGAGGCTACCAGAAAGATGATTACTTGTTTTACTGACTATGAAAAAGCATCCATCTGACTGTGTGGATCATAATAAATTATGGGTAACACTGAGAATGAAAATCCCAGAACACTTAACCATACTAATTTAAAATCTATACACATAACAAGTAATTATCTGAGCAGAACAACAGAGCACTGCATGTTTTAAAATCAGGAAGGGTGTGTGTCAGAGTTATATTATGTTTCCATACCTACTCAATTTGTATGCAGAACAAATAATTTGGGAAGCCAGACAATATGAAGAAAAATGTGGCATCATGATTGGAGAAAGACTTACCAATAGCCTGCATTATGCGATGACACAATCTTGCCTGCTGAAAAGTGAAGAGGATTTGAAGCTATCACTGAAGATGATCAATTTGGATTACATCTCAACATAAAAAAAAAAACAAACAAAAATCCTCATAAGGACCCAATAGACAACATCATTATAGATGGAGAAAAGATTGAAGTGGTCAACAATTTATCATTTTATTTGGATCCACAATCAACACTCATGGTATTAGCAGTCAAGGACTCAAAAGATGTGCAACACTGGGAAAATGTATTATCAAGGATTTATCCAAACTATAGAGAGTAAGGATGCTATTTTAAAGATGAAGGCACCTAATATAGTCCATGATCATTTCCATTGTTTTCTATGCATCTGAAAATTGGACAGTAAATAAGGATGAGAGAAGAAGAATCAAAGCCATCTAACTATAGTGATTGCAAAAATACTGAATAGGAGTGCCAAAAGAACAGGTGGTGCTCCTTGGAGGCAAGGATAGAGAAACTTTGTCTCACATACTTAGGAAACCCTGTGAAGAGCCAGTCCTTGGAAAATAGCACCATGCTGAGAAAGGCAGAGAGTCAGAAAAAGGCAGCAAGACCTTTAAAAAGACGGAACTGACAATGGTGACTGGAACAATGGAATTAAGCATGACAAAGTTCAGACCAGGTGTTCACAGGGTCACTGAGTCAGAGTTGAGTCTTAGGCACATAATAACAAAAACATACCCAATAACTGCACATTTCCAAGCACATCCAGAATATTTATCACATTTACTATATCTGAGTTGTCAGAACCAAATTTCCATAAAGAACAAAGGAATAAAATAATACTCAATAGGTTCTCTGATAATATGCATTTAAAATATAGATCTGTAATAATAAGACAGCAGGTATATTTTTAAATATCAAAGAAGAAATCACAATGGGAACTGCAGAACCATTTTGAGATGAATAATGAATATGCCACCAATGTAAACTGTAAAATATGAAGGAAAATGTAAAAAATTACAAAGAATAATAAAAAAAGTCTGTCACTCACTTATGATAAATGACTACTAATACAAAACAAATATTTTATATGTTTATTTTCAATATTTCCCCTCTAAGAATATATATATCATTTAGGATCCTTTTCTGTTTTAATTGACTCAAAGAACCAAATCCCCACCCCCAAACCTCGACAGTATTTTTTTTTAAATAATCTTCACAAACTGTATTTTCATGACTATAATAATCTCCAACTTGTATTTCAATTTTTGTACAAACCTGCACAGATGGACCATATATACTTAAAATCTTATTTACCAGAGTGCTCTGGACCACAATAATGTCACACAATTTAGATCCAGAAAGTTTTTAATAAGCCTACAGTGCTGTTTCTTCTGACATCCATTTTGGTTTCTTCTTTCTCCTCCTCCTTTGTAATGACCTTTTGCTTTCTTCATGGATGATATTTTTTATGTCCCCCCACAGTTCCTCTAGTCTTTGATTACTGGTGCTCAAATCTGTTCTTGAGATGATTCTTAAATTCAACTGGGATAAATTCAAGGTCTTATCATGGTTCCTGTGGGCTAGTTTTAATTTTCTTCAGCTTCAATTTAAACTTCCACATATGTAATTGATGATCTGTTCCACAACTGGCACCTGATCTGGTTTTGATTGCACATACTGCAATTCTCCAACGATTCTTTCCACAAATATAGTCAATCTGATTCCTGTACAATCCATCAGGTGAGGTCCATGTGTAAAGCTGGCATTTGCATTTTTCAAAAAAGGTATTTACATAGAAAAAACTATGGTATAATCACACACTGGAATAGGCAGCACTGAGAAACAATGTACTTGTCAAACATTACACAACATGGGCGAGCCTGGAGAACATTATGCTGAGTGAAGTATCTCAGTCGCAAAATGACAAGTACTGCATGAAAAGCTGTTATAAAACAGGACTGAAAGGGGAGGCTGGGGGGAGAATAAGACAAGAATGGATCGAACACTGCATTGGAATAGATAACGGGAAGAAGGTCCGAAAGGAACATATACTAGGTATTACATGCATGAAAGTAATCTGGAACAAGAGATGCATTCCAAAGAAGACTAAATGAGACTGTAGGGAGGAGGAAGGATGAAAATGTGCAACAATGAATGAATTTAAAAGGGGGGGGGGAATATGTGCTTGAAAATACATTAAAGGGCTAACAAACCACCACTAAACATTTTAAAAGGCATTTGTTACTGAATAAATCATTGAGTGCACAAAATTTGATCACTGAATCTCCGGCCTTATTTCTGTCGCAAGTCTATACTTTCCAATTACCCATTCCTTCCTCATTGTTTCAGCTTTTGTGTTCTAGTCACCAATAACTGTGCCCATGTGGAATCTATACGTAAACCAAGAAGCTGTTGCCCAAAGGGAGTAAGGGAACACTTGAATTTATAACCAAGAAGAGTGTGTGTCAGGATTGTATCCTTTCACCATATCTATTCATCTGTATGCTAAACAAATAAAATCATGAAGCCAGACTCTATAAAAAGGAATATAGCATCAGGATCAGAGAGAATACTCATCAACAACCTGTATTATGCAGATGACACAACTTTGCTTGCAGAAAGTGAGGATATGGAACGCCTGCTTCAGAAATAAGGACTACAAACAGTCTCTGTATGGACTGCATCTCAAAATTAAGAAAAAAAAGTCCTCACCACAGGATCAACAGTCAACATTATGATAGATGGGGGGGGGGGGGAATTGAAGCTGTCAATGATTCTATCTTGCTTGAATCAACAATCAGTATCCTTGATACCAGAAGTCAGGAAATCAGAAGACGTATTGTACCGAGCAAGTCCACTCTCAGGAACGTCTCCAAAATGTTGACGAGCAATACTATCAGTTTGAAGACTAAAGAAGGTGTGCCTCTTTCAAGCCATGGTCTTCTCAATCACCTGCTATGCATCAGAGAGCTGGGCACCAAATAAAGATAACAAGAAATTGATGCCTTTGACTTGTGAAACTGGAGACAAGTACTGAATATCCAATGCACTGCCAAAAGAATAGATATGTCTTGGGAGCAATGCATCCAAAGTGCTCTTGGAGGCAAAGACGACAAAACTTTGTCTTTCATGCTTTAACATGTAGCTCGATGAGGCTACTAGTTGGAAAGGGCTATCATGCTTGGAAAGATGGAGAGCCAGTGAAGGAGAGGAAGACTCCCAACAAGGTGGACTGACACAGTGGCTTCAGCTATGGGCTCTAGTGTGTCAGAGATGATGAAGAAGGTACAGGATAGGGCAGGCTTCAGGGTTGTTGTTCATTGGGCTGCTATGAGTCATACTCAACTCGACAGCACCTAAGAACAACTAAAGTGGAACTTTGGTGGCCTACTGGGTAAGGAGGTGTTCTGCCAACTCAAAGACTTAAAGTCCAGATCTACCAGCTGCTCCAAGAAAGAAAGATGGGCAATCCCCTCTTGCACAATTTACAGCCTCTGAAAATCTGCTGGAGGGTCAGCTATGAGTCAGCCCGACTTGAAGGCACACAATTACAATAACAGTACAATGCAGTGAAGTATTAGTTTCCTATGTTAGAAAAAACATTTTTTTCTTCATAAACATTTCTTTTATCTTATTATTTATTTTTTTTAATCTTACTATTTCTGATACATGTTCTATCTATTCCTATCTCTTAAAGAAAATATTGTGGCCTAATGGAATATACATTGTCATATTTATTTATAAAATAATAAGTAAATACATAAATTGTTATAGCATTGATATTCCAATAAATTTCTACTTCTAAAATACTACACAGAATAGAAGTATCATAATCACTTACCACTTGACCTGTTTTTGCGACTTGATTTCCCACCTGTGAGAAGCATCTTGAGACTATTCCGAAACATGGTTATGCTACTGTGTATTACCAAAACTGCAAAAGAAAATGTAAGAAAATTTGTCTTAATTTTTTTATGTCAAACTAAAATATCATTAAGACTTAATTTGAAATATACAGAATTAAAACCCACTCACTGCCATTGAGCTGATTCAAACTCACAGCATCATTAGGTTTCCCAGGTTGTATGTTTTTATGAGACTGCCTAGCTTTCTTTCATGTATCAGCTGGGTCAACTGAATTGCTGAACTGTCAACTTATCAGCCCCGCACATTAAGCACTAGGCCACGAGGACTTCCTTATAATATAATTAACCACATTTAGGGAACTCTGAATAGTGAAACTCAGCTGCTAACCCAAAAACAAATTACCTCTTTGGTAGTTTGAATCCACAGAAGAAAGATGAGGAGTTTCCTATCATGAAATTTACCGCCTATGAAAACCCTCTGGAGGGTCAGCTATGAGTCAGTTCTGAAAGGCTGGTAGGGAGTGAGTGTAAACTACATTTAAATATATACATAATAATATTTCTAACTGAACAAAAATAATAGCAAAATACTAGTAAATATTTAAATAATTCTTTAAAATTACACTATGGAGAAAAAATAAATGGGAACAATACACTGAAAAAAACATATGTTGCATTAAAAACTATAAAATTTTTTTAAATTCCAAGACAAAAAAAAAGAAATACTAAAAAGTTTAAGAAAGAAAAGAAGACTTTGAACCAGATGGATTGATACAGTGGCTGGAACAATGGGTACAACAGAATGTGAGGATGGTGCAGGATTGGTTAAGCTTTTGATCTCTTGTACATAGAGTCCCTGTAAGTCTGAGTCATGAGGGCACCTAACAACATCATAATTGAATGGTTATTCTTTCTAGTAAGAGAAGCATGCAAAAACTAAACCATCACTATAAGCCATAATAATGAATTCTCCCATGAACTGATTTTATATCAATTTATAGAGTCATAAATATGTAACTTCCATTAAAAAAACAAAAGTACACTACAACACTTTGAGTACCTGAAATAGTAAGGGTGGATATCACAAAAGGTAATCAAATATAAAAAGTAGAAATACGTAGTTATAAACAGACTACTGCTCCCACTGCCTCTCTAATTCTTGGATAAAGCTCTTATATGCTTTATACACGAATACAGAGTTTAAGATGAAAAAAATGTATAGCAGCTGAAAATTTCCTATTGGTCAAGCCACATTTCCACCTCACAAGCCTACATATTAGAACTAAGTAGTCTGCCCAAATAAATTTTGCCATCAGTGAGTTTGCAATTCCTTTCATATACTAGATTTCTATCTCACGGTCTAAGGATCAGTATGTCTCCACACTACTCAACTACAACTAGTAACACCATCTAAGTTATTGTAGGATTCCCTGCGGGAGAAAAATTATGAGCAAGCCTGACAAGAAAACACAATTCGAAACAGATAAGACAATTTTAAATAGATCTTGGGGCGGAGGATGTTTTATTACTGAACCATGCATATATTCTGTAGAAGACAGAAAATACAATCAGAAAAGCAGAAGAATGCTAGCACTGTTGGAAGAAGGATGCAATGATAAAATAGCTACATCATCTTTCAGTTTTCTTATTGCTTTGCCCAAAGTATTGCAACGTCTTTCAAGATGATATGAAAAAGAAGTTGAGACATCAACTTTGTACTCATACTTTCTTTAAAAAAAAAAAAAACTTTTACTGAACACAGCTCAAAGGAATTTTCATCTTCTATTTGAAAGGTAAAAGAGAAGAATATTGTCAAATGAAGATGCTTCACAGTTATTAAATGAATATAAACAGATGTTTTACCATTATTAGATTAAACAAATATACTGATAAGTACTCCAATCTCTAATGATGAAGGTATAGGAAGGTATAATTAGTCATATAAATTCTAGCTCAGATTTGAGTCTTCAGATGACCATACTGTATTATTTTTTTCAAATGGAAGAATCAATGACTAAATCCTAGGACTATAAGGTTGGTTAAAGATACAGAAAATTACTAGAATGACAGAGGCAGAGGGAACCCAAAAACATACTAAACCCCATTCCTGTGAATTCCAACTCACAGTGACCTTGAAAAACAGTAGAACTGCCCCATATGGTTTCCAAGATTGTAGATCCGCTTAACTGCACACGTTACCATCTTTTCCCTATGGAGTAGCTAGTATATTTGAACTCTCTTTTATAGGCTGATGAATGCAAAAGAGCATTTGACAAAATTTTCAAACACCTCTTTGAAAATGTATTTTTAAAAACCCCAAAACGTCACCACTCCACATGCTATAGAGACTTATTCAACATGCTTTTCTAGCCATTGTGGGCATAAATGTCACCACTAGGCTGGGCTGTTGTTTTTAGATGTCACAGAGTCAATGTCAACTCAGAAGGACCCTATGAACAACAGATGTAAACCTTGCTCTATCCTGTGCCATCTTCAAATGCTCTGATATGCTCTAGCCTATTGTTGCAGTCACTGTGTCAATCTATTTTGTTGAGCTTTTCTCTTTAAATCTTCACCTCTCCTAGAATGATATCCTTTTCCAAGGAATGGCCTCTCCTGACAACATGCCAAAAGTGTGTGAGATGACTTTTCACTATCTTTGCTTCTAAAGAACACCTTGGGGGGGGGGGGAAGTAAATAAGATAAAGAACACCCTGGTTGCAGTTCCTCAAGACAGACTTTGTTTGTTCTTTTGCCAGTCCATGGGATATACACCATTCTCCAACATCACATCTCAATGGCATCAATTCTTTTTCCATCATCTTTACTCATGACCTAACTTTCAGAGGCATAGAAAGTAACTGACTTTCATGAGTCATGACTTGAATCAGTTGCACCTTAGTTTTTAAACTAACAATTTTCTCTTTGGCACTTTGGAGAGGTCCTTGACAGCAAACTTTCCCTGGCAACACATTTCTGCCAATGTAGGGTATCTGTGGTCCACCAGGGGAACTGAGTGTTTTACTAATATTGTTAATAGTGGAACATGCAAAGAAAGATCATTACAGGGAAGTAGGTCAGTGTAGTCACCCCCACTAGGCTTAAACTGTGTGGATTCAGAGGCAGAAAATGGGAACCTCATCACCATCAAGAAAGAAGCAAAGCATAGCACATCCTTAGGGCCAGAGATCTTGAATCAGACAGTGAGACCAAGACACAGCAGCCTAGACAGCAGCAGTGAAATCAGAAGTGATGATCTGCAGACTAAAGTGAGACTGACCTGAGGCAGATCTGCCATTCAGAGAGCCAGAACTGGATGCATAATTGGCACTGAACAAAAAGATCTTCATAACACTTGCCTGAACACAAGGAAAAGTCCAAAGTCACAATGGCAGAGAGAGGTCTGCCTAATAGCAAATCCAAGTAGTTGCCCTGGTTGAAAAATTATACTCTAAGTGTTTCCAACCTGAACAATTATCTGTTACTTCCCTAAAAAATCTTGTAATCAGTATTGTCTTTGAATTCTTTGTGGTCATTACAATGAATAATTAAACCCAGTAGTAGAATACAGAGGGCCACGTGAGGAATCATTGGTATTAGAATTGATAAACAGAGTATAAGCATGAGAGCATGACACCCATGGGGATCTGACTCCACAGGAATCGACTCTGTGCTGTCAATGTTCTTGAAGAGGATTCTTCCCCCTTGTGGGATTAGTGGAGGTCAGACTTTCCTACACCAAAGCCCATCACATTGTTTTTATACTTAAAAATCAGGAATAGAAGAAAAATTTCTCAGCATAATACATCTACAAAAAGACCAGAGTTAACATCATACTCAACGGTGAAAGACTGAAAGCTTCCCCTCAAAGATCAGAAACACGAGAGGTATGCTCACTTTTGTCACTGTTATCAACACTATACTGGAAGTTCTCACCAGAGCAAATTGGCCAAGAAAATGAAACAGATTATCACTACCAAAAAGGAACACTCTTTCTTCACAGATGGCATGATCCTACATGAAGTAAATACTCCCAAAAACCATAAGAAAGTTCCTCACCAAAATCAAATCAAACTGACTGCCGTCAAGTCAACATTGACTTACAAATAACTGGATGGCCTGAGTATTTTTACCTTACATGGTTTGCAATGCAGTAAATCTTTACAAAACCATCATCCTCCTGAAGCAAAGCTGGTAAGTGTGTATCACTGACCTTTTGGTTAGCTGCCAAATTCTTTAAATACAGTGCCACAAAGTCTTCCTTAAAGCTACTAAAACTAGTAAATTTAATAAAGTTGCAGGGAACAAAATCATCACTAAAAATCAGTTTTGTTTCTATGTAACAGCAATGAATAATCTAAAAATGAAACAAAAAAATAGTTTCATTTATCCAGGAATAAATGTGACCAAGGAGGTAAGAGACTTGAACATTGAAAACTATAAAATATCCCTGAAAGAAATTATATAGCTAAAAGTGGCAAGAAATTCTATGTTCACAGATTACTACTTTTAAAATGATACTATTTCCCGATATTGAGATACAGAGTGACCACAATACTTACCAAAATCTCAGTTGTTTTGTTTTTGAAGGTTTTTTAAAATAAATTTGCCATCAACTCTTAAAATTTATATGGAAATTCAAGGGATCCAAAGTAGCCAAAACAATTTTCAAAAAAAGACATAGTCAAACATGGCTAATAACACACACTCATGCTCTTCATGACTTCCTCTAGGAATATGTTTGTTACTTTACACAATGGAGTGTTGCAGATATAATTAAAGATCTTAAAACAGAGATATTATCCAAGTGGATCCAAAGTAATCATAAACCAAAGCTGATCAAACAAAATGCAACTGCATTCAGTCAATTCCAACTCATAGGGGCCCTAGAAGAGTAGAATTATAGGGTAGTATAGTACAACCCCAAAGAGTTTCCAAAGCAGTAATGTTTATAGAAGCACACTGCCACATCTTTTCTCACAGAGTGACTTGTGGGTTCAAATAATTAACCTCTGGTTAGCAGTTAAGCACCTCACTACTAC